CCCTGTCCCTTCCCTCCCTCCTTCCCTTCCTGGCAATACCCAAATGGTGATGATATACTGTCACAGGAGCTTGACAGGCAAAGCAGGGGGCAGAAGTACAGGTGAAGGGCTGGCAGCGCTTTCGGACAGTTGTGAACAGATAGGTATGGCTGGAGCGGTGGGCTGTGGGGGCTGCATCCTGAGAGGTCTGAATTCTAAGTGGTGGGGCTTGGGTGACGTTGGAGGCAAGAAGCTGGAAACTGGCAGCTGCCACTGATACGTTCTGTACAGCCTTCCCTTCATTCCATCTTTCCCTCCGTCCACCCATGGTCACTGCCTTCTCTGCTTCCTCTAACCCTCTGTTGGCGGCAATCCCTTTTCCTTCCCCCACAAGGCGCCTTCTCTGCTCGCACCCCTCATTCTCATAGAGGGCCATCCTTTGAAGAACTAGAGTAAACACGGTAATAAAGGAGCTCTGTCTACCACTGTGTTTAGGAATGCGTATTTCGGTAGCAAAATTATAGCAAAAAGCAAAAACAAAACAGTGGTACCTTTAGAGAGCGGGGAAAGATTGGGGCACAGGGCAAGTGGGAGGGACTTGGCGTTACTCTTGTCTTTGACCTAGGTGGTGGCTTGCCTGATAATAGTTCACTAACCTGTGCAATTACGTGTATGCATTTTCTATGTATATGACATTTTTCACACTAGAAAAGGTTTTTACAAGCATAACTGCTGGAGATCAGATGAGGATTAGACAAGGTAATATACAACCTGGCATTCAAAGAGAGGAGCGGTCACACCGAGCCTCTGGCAAGGAGGGGACGAGGGACTCTGGCCATGCCCTGGTCCACAGGAGCAGGGTTCCTTCAAGACCGGGGAGAGTGGGAGGCTGGCGGCTATCATGGCCAGGTGTACCGAGGCCTGGGCACCAGCTCTGCAAAGATCAACAGGCTGGGCCACAAGCTGAGAGCCCAGGGCTCTGCCCCAGGAGCCCAGCCTCATGGCCAGCTCTCTCACCGATGGACTGCAGGCTCCCAGGCACCTGCCCAAAGGCCCTGTGCTCACAGCTTCCCTTTCTGCTGCCCGCGTGGTCCATCCACCCATGGCAGCCCTCACCTGGGCCCTTGCCGGTGCTGAGCCCTGCTCCCTTGCCCTGCTTGTGCTGAGCCAGGAGGCCCAGCCTGAGACCCCTCTTGCAGGAGAAAGCCTCTGTCTCTGGGCTGGTGCCTGCCTTCCCCTGACTGCTTGGTGTTGAGGTTTCCTTAAATTTTATGCAAGTCAAAGAGGAGGAAGTCACTTTAGTGAGCAATTGCTAGAAAGGCAGAAGGGGCAGCGGGGAGCTCACCAGAGGTGTGAGAGTGAAGAGCAAGACAGAGTGGCACTGGGGACATGGCGGCAGGATCCTAACTGGGCTCTCCATGCCCCTGCACTTCCTCACCTACTGCAGCCAAGCCACTGGCCTGTGGGTGTGGCTTGCAGGACGCGTTCTGCGTCACTCCAGGACTGCGTTACCATGGACCAGAGCATGAATAGTGCCCCTGGACCTTGCAGCTCGTGACCACTGCACGTCAGGTCCAGAATCCTCAACCGTGGTTTGCGCGCTTAGTCGAAGATTGCAGATCTTTGCTCATTAACAGAGCGGTGTGCACAGCTGTGCAGTGTGTGTACTGAACAACTCCAGAGGTCACCACCTCCGAAGACTGAGCCCTGAGGCCATTATTCCTTGCCATCGCCACCGCTGCAGGTGGGCTGGGGGAGGAGGAGACCACAGTCACAGATACCGAGTGTCCTCAGTTCTGATCAGGAAAGCCAGGGGCTGGCCACCCAAGTAGTCCCAGGCAGCCTAGGAGACCAAGGGAGCCTGAGCTATCTTGGCAGAGGGGCTTGGGTTCCTGGGAATGTACTGCGACTCCATGCTATACAAACAGAGCCTGCTCAAAGCCCTGGCCTAATAAATCGTGCAGTTAGCAACTAGGACTGCTGACTGCCCACACCGTTCTCTGGCAAGTCAGGACTTGGGGCCCCTGGTCAGAGCCTACCAAGGAGTGATAAATTGGACCCAAGGCGATGCTAGGAGAAAACAGCCTCTGGCCAAGGGGAGAAGACTCACTGCTCTTCGTGCCACTGATGAGGGTCTCCCTATCTGTCCTCTCCTGTCCCCTCCCCTCCCCTTTCCCCGTCTTTCCTCTCCCTTTCTCTCCCTCCCTCC